TTCATCCACACGTAAACTTAAACCTATATTAAGTGACTTATGTAACACCCGTATCTCCTATGTAACACATGTATTTCTTATGTAACACCCGTATTTCCTATATAACACCTGTATTCCCTATGTAACACCCGTATTTCCTATGTAACACCCGTATCTCCTATGTAACACCTGTATTTCTTATGTATCACCTGTATTCCCTATGTAACACCTGTATTTCCTATGTATCACCTGTATTTCCTATGTATCACCTGTATTTCCTATGTAACACCCGTATTTCCTATATAACACCTGTATTCCCTATGTAACACCCGTATTTCCTATGTAACACCCGTATTCCCTATGTAACACCTGTATTTCTTATGTAACACCTGTATTCCCTATGTAACACCTGTATTTCCTATGTATCACCTGTATTTCCTATGTAACACCCGTATTTCCTATATAACACCTGTATTCCCTATGTAACACCCGTATTTCCTATGTAACACCCGTATTCCCTATGTAACACCTGTATTTCTTATGTATCACCTGTATTTCCTATGTAACACCCGTATCTCCTATGTAACACCCGTATCTCCTATGTAACACCCGTATTTCCTATATAACACCCGTATTCCCTATGTAACACCCGTATTTCCTATATAACACCCGTATTCCCTATGTAACACCTGTATTTCCTATGTATCACCTGTATCTCCTATGTATTACCTGTATTCTAATCATTTCTCCCTTCCATCTCCTATTCATTGCCTCCATCATCAATAATCTCTCACAGAAACAACTAAACTCCTTCCAGTATCTTCCACTCGACTGGCTGATCCTGAGGTCTAAGTGGAACCTTCCTTTCATACTCTTGATTTACGTCTCCGTCTTCCTGTGGGGTATACACGTGGGTGGTGATTCACTATCTTCCGCTCGTTCATACGGTCACTCATTCATAACAGTCACTTATACTGTTACTCATCTACTCATAATGTTACTCACTCACCTATTCACTCACTCATTCTGTTATTCACTTACACTGTTACTCACTCACAGATTGACTTATACATTCGGTCACTCACTCACATGGTTACTCAGGTCACTCACCCCCTCAACTCATACAGCTGAAACAACATCTATTAACGTACAAACAGAGGCAGAAATCACACAGCAAGACCTATAAATTTAATTAAACTCAAACTGGTGTAGTAGACAGATGCCCTTTTCGCATCATGTATAAGAAACACCTGTCCAACATCAATGCACACCTGTCAATTCAATACAAATACCACCTGTCTAGTAAACGGAAACCTTTATCGTAGCAGAAACGCCTGTCAAATATCTACATACCTGTCAATTTCAAGTGTAAATCGAATCTGCGTAGTAAATGAACACTTGTCAAACATCACCACACACCTGTCAAACACCACACACCTGTCAAACATCTCCACACACCTATCAAACAACACCACACACCTATCAAACATCACCACACACCTGTCAAACAACACCACACACCTGTCAAGCATCACCACACACCTGTCAAACAACACCACACACCTGTCAAACATCACCACACACCTGTCAAACACCACCACACACCTGTCAAACATCACCACACAGCTATCAAACATCACCACACACCTGTCAAACATCACCACACACCTGTCAAACATCACCACACACCTGTCAAACATCACCACACACCTGTCATTACAATGCATTTCACACCTATGTAATAAACCCCTAATGGTTCTCACTTTACATTCTTTACAACTTTCTCTTTGTAATTTTTTTTCTCTCTCCTTTTCTATGCCTCGACACGACTATATGCTTAAGGCAGAAGGAGGCGACGGCGGCTCAGGAGAAGGCTCAGGAGGTGTAGTTGTCATTCAGTACGTGTGAGTATTTTTTTTACCACCTGGGGGTTCTGAAGTCCTGACTCCATCCCAAACAACTCACTCACTCACTCCTTCTGGCAATTTTAATAGCGAGGTAAAAACACAAGTGAACTTTCTATTCATTTTGTTGTTTGTTTTCTTAATGGGAGAGAGAAAGCCTTAAGAGTTTTAGCAACGGTGGTGGGATTTGATATCGACAAGGTTACCGTAAGGGGTACAAGTTATCGTGGTTAAGGAGGTGTAGTTACCGTGAGGAGTGCAGGTATCGTAAAGTGGTGTAGCTATCGTAGTTAAGGGGGAGTAGTTATCGTGCTTAAATGGATGCAGCTATCGTAGTTAAAGGGATATAATTATCATGGTCGAGGTCAAGTTATCTTTATCAATAGACTCATTCATCGTCATCAAAGGACTAACACTTGAGAGCCTCTAATGGTGCCGCTGGTTTCTTAATTTCCGGTCTTCATATGCAAATTAAGACCAATATAACTTTTCTTCGTTTTTTTTTTACTGTTTAGGGAAGCTCTTAATACAAACACAAGAACAAGGAATGTATTTATTTCAGCAAACACAATCATTTTTTTTGTCTATGTTGTTTTGGTTAAGCATAGGCCTAAATAGGAGTGAATTTAAGTACCCATAAACCTTTTTGATATTAATTCAAGTATTTATTTTACCTTCTGTAGTGACACTGTGGCTCTATTAACGGCAAACTCATCAAGATTAAATATATCAATGTCTTTCTTTCGGAGGTTAATTATAAATAAAGAATATTAACACAGCAACGATGGAACAGTAAACATGAAATTTTAAAACAGCAACGGCGTAAGACCTGGCTAGTTCCTCCGTCATCTGTCAGCTAACAATCTCGATCGTAAAAACTTCAACGTCGTAACTTTCAACAAATTCTTAAATCATCCTTAAGTGAAAACAAAACCACTAAATTTTTTCGAGAACTTGAATGTTATTTATGTTTTTGTTTTGTTTTTACTTTGATTCAGTATCCACAACTCAAGGGTTATTTACACAAAATATTCTAACAAATTCCAAGACAGAAACGAACTTTCCCCACAGTAAACAACGTGTAATAAGCCATGGGCGACGAAGGTTCAAGATAGTATAGTCACCCCTTAACTCTAAGTTTAGATTTAAGTTTTCTATGAATTACGCTGAGTTGAGTTTTTTAGGGCAGACTTCACCAGTTACAGGTTTGTGAAAATTTGTTTTTTTTTTACTCACACAAACCGGTTATTCTAGAGGTTTTTAGTTGTTTCCTACTTCGAGAATAGCCTACACCCACGTCAAGAATGAGCCCACATCCACGTCAAGAATTAAAACTTACTAATTTTAGTTTTTTCACAGCAGATCTACACACGTAACTAAATCAAACGGCACACGACTTTCCACCATTACACAAGGCTGGGGACAAACAAATCTTCAAAACCTAACAATAAAGCCAAGGTTATTGAATTCACATTTTACGATACGTGTACAGGGTGTTCAAAGTTACTTACACCTGGCGAGATCTACAGATATTTACGCAATTATCGTGTATATGTAGATGTATATGTAAATACATATATCAAAGGTTTACCCCAACTCAAATATACTAAGAATAGATTTTTAAAACAGGAAATTTGACTTATACGTTACCAGTGATTGCAAATACTCTATAAAATCATGAAAATGGGTCAATAATGTTGCAGAGACGTAAAGCAGAGGAAGAAGCTCAATATAAACACAATTCTCATCAGTTGGTGGACAGTAGGAGTGAAGGCCAGGCAGGCGACACAACACCCTCACCAACTGATGACCAACTCTACATCAGCACCTTCCCTGTCCCCCCCACACTGACACAATAAGACGCCACCATTGTTTCCAAGCACGTCGTTACCAAACACTAGACGCAGCACTTCACTCCTATGCATGTCGACAGAAACTCAGTAATGCCTGTGTTTTCGCGCCAGACTATGATGAAAAAGTCGCCGGACAAGTAAACGAGAGAAAAGTTGCCGATGTCAATGCAGTCACTGTAAAGTCAAAATCCCCCAGCGGCGGGAAGATGTAGATATCACAGAGGATGACTTGGAGTACATTGGTCTTCATGCCGTGTGATTCCCGGCTCATTATCAGTATCCTGCAAGGGTAACTTACCTTTAGGTCCCTCGCTGTGGTGCACAAGGCTGCTCCAACACAAAAACTTCAACACTTACCTGCAACACAGATGACTTCAGAGTTTTGATGAGTGTACGTCCCCTGTAAGTGAACACCGCCACCATGTTAAGCACCTTTAAAACACATAAGCCACAAGCAACACTATACCACGCTTCCTAAATGGTGCCTAATGGATGCCTCTCGCTGTTATTGTCTTATTAGCAGTGAACATTAGAAGTCTCAGTTTATAATCAGACATCTCTTATCAGTAAACCTCTATAGCTCGACTTTCACTGCATCACCGTGAGAGGCGGCCTGGTACACGTCCTGCAGGAAATATCAGAGGCGAGAAAGTGATTCGACTCGTTTCTGGTGCATCAGTCTACAACACTGCTCTGAGCTTCATCATATCCACTGCAGTCAACAAAAAAGAAAGTTGTAGAGTCTGGGTAATTTTTATTTTATTTAGGAGGCGTGGTCAAGTGTTCTGCTTTCCCTGGTGTGAGTGTGGCCTTAGGGCTGGCGGGGCCGTGAGCCTCAGCCCCAGGCCCTGCCACGGGCTTCCATGCTAAGCCCGCCCCGACAACCTTGCTCCTCCACCACAAACACTGCCTCGGGGCTCAACACTGTACAAGTATCACCCACACTTGAAACCAAACATTTTCTCTTTTACTGTTGTCATCTAAACGACCGAATTTCATAACATCAAAATATGGAAAAAATCTCATAAGTCTGACCACTGCCAGTAAGGCTCGCCGTCCACCATGACTCAAGTGACTTACCCAAGACCTGCAATCTCATCAGTCACTTGTCTGGAGAACCTGACGAAGGCTGGGAAGTACAGGTCTTGATAACTCATTGATTTTCCTTATTCTTAAAGAGCCATATAGTGTTTAATACATTATAGTGGATGTAAACAACTGTGTCCCTTGAGCCCCGGGCGACGTAACATGACTCAGTACTCACCCTCACGCCAGCAGTACTCAATTTCATCCTCGCGGGCGGCCGGAATGGATCCATGCGTGTGGCTGATGGTGTGGGCGTGGGTGTGGGTATGAGCGGCCACATCCCTCACGCCCTGACTCCACGACCGTCGCCAGTTTCGAGGGCGCCAACGCTTAGACCGCTGACGCATGCGGACCCTGTGTGAGAAACAAAGGAGGTGCTGGTGACACGTGCACTGCAGGAGCGTCGAGTTAGACTTGTGGTGGCCACACACACACACACGTCCAGGAGCGGGTGGAGGAGGGGCTGAAGGAGGAGGGGGCCTGGGGGAGAAAACTGATCACGTATTTCAGCATAAAACAGAAGTACTCAACCAGGCGAGAAAGTGAAGATACCTGTGTGTGTACAGTAATTAAGAAACAACAGACGTGAGCAAAGTGGGTTGAGTCTCTTGACCCACCAACTTCCCTCCTTCCCCCACTGACCTTCACGCTGTCATAAAGGACAAAACTATAACACTCCTTTAACACTGTAATAAAAGGTTAAAACAGAGACAAACACCAGCACAACCACTTGGGGATGACACTCACAGTCAACTAAACACAATAAAACAACGAAATTTAGAAAAACCTTAAGAACTTCCAATCGAGACTTCACGCAGGGAGGAGGAGGAGGAGGAGGCTGTCTGCTGAAGGGAGGAGGAGGAGGCTGTCTGCTGAAGGAAGACATTTCTCAACAATATCTAATGACCTTGCCAGCGAAAATACCCTAACCCTAACCTAACCTAACCTAACCCTAACCTAACCTAACCTAACCTAACCTTAACCTAACCTAACCTTAACCTAACCTAACCTAACCTAACCCTAACCTTAACCTAACCTACCCTAACCTAACCAAGTGAATTCTGGGGAAAGATCAATTACCAAAACAGTGAAGAAAAATACCTGAAGTTTATTAAATATATATAAATAACTCATAAACTGGAACAACAAAATAAATCAATAAACATCAAAAGAAACTAAAATAAACTTGTAAATAATGACAAAGTAAATATACAGAATTTATATATAGTTACATAATACTGAACTAGCTGGGATGAATTTGGGTCATGAATAAACAAAACAATTACTTTTATTATAACTTAAGGAAAGAGTTGTTCATCAGGGGGGATTATCTCGTGTATGACTGTATTCTAGTTTAGGGATGCTACCATGATACACACACACACTCTTACCTACATATATACACACATACATACATACATTATACACATACCTGTATATAAACAAACACCACACAAACATACACCAACACAAAATAAACGTAAATAAAAAATAACAACACCCAATTCCTCCTATAAACAAAACCATATAACAAACTTTCACTCCTCGGCTCGTGAAAGCACTGAGTGACACGTCTGGTGGTCAAAGGAAAGTGAGGATGAACACAGGTCTAGAGTGCCTTCCTCACACCCCCCCCCCCTCTTCCTCTTCTTGCTGTAGGGGGATGAGGGGGGGAAGAGGAGGGGTAAAAGAAGAGGGGGATGAGGAGGAAGAGGGAGGAAAGGGGAAGAAGAGGAGGAGGAGGAGGTTGATTAGGGAGGAGGGAAGAAGGGGAGGTTGAGGAGGGAGGAAAGGGGAAGAAGAGGAGGCGGAGAGAAGAAAAGCGGGAGATGGAGAAGGAGGAAAGAAAGAAGAGGTGGAGAAGGAGGAAAAGGAAGGAGAGTAGAGGGAGAACAGGAGGAAAGAAAGAAGGAAGAGGGAGATAAGGAGGAAGTTATCAGGGGTGAGGGTAGGATAAGGGAGGGAGATGATAAGGGTAAGTGGGTAAGTGGATGTGGCTGACGGGGGGGGGTGATACTGAGGTAAGTAGGGGGAGGAGAGAGGGGGAGGGAAGGAAGGAGAGAGTGGTTAAGTGTGTGTGTGTGTGTGTGTGTGTGTGTGTGTGTGTGTGTGTGTGTGTGTGTGTGTGTGTAATAAAGGAAATACTTCATAAATTCCCTTCTCTAAAACAAAAAAAATATCCAAAGATCACAACTGATAGAACAAAGACTTCCGATTGTCTCTTACCACAAGCACCTCAACTTACCTCGTCCGAAACTTCCTTCTATTGTTCACAAAATGTCTAACATCATCTCGAAAAAATCCACGAAATTTAAATAAACGATAAATTCTGCAGTCTCACATATATATTCGTATGTATATAAACTTAATTTATATATATCCAGAGTGTTTGTATTAGTGGGAGCCAAATTTATCACTATTTAATGTTCGTTAATATAAATTGTATATATGATCGATGGTATATATGACTCCTCTGTAATAATAGGCTAGCTACACCGCCGCCTCCAGTCTGGGGAAACACGACTTGTTTTTTCAATCAAATCATTCATCAGTCACAATAAAAGTCTTATAATCTTTTTTTTCTTCACCTGTCGTAATCTTTCCTCTATCGTGATCAATGTGAGTTACGAAGCGGTTGTGTCAAAATGTATCGTCTAATTTTCTATTGTACAGTTAGATCACGTGAAGGTTTGTCCCACTCCAGCTTATTTAACCTTAAAATTAACCACCCTAACGCTAGCCTAACTTAACCTAACCTAACGCTAACATAACCTAAACTAACCCGACCTAACGCTAACCTACCCTAGAAGTGGCGTTAGTTTTTAAATCATCAAGTGTAATAAGTTGGTGGAGCTCTAACCTTTCAAGTGATCCCATCTGTTTGAGAAAGCAACACAATAATTATTATACTCGCACAAATTACCTAATAATCTATAAAACACATTAAACAAATTAAAATGTGGAGCTTTGGTGATAATGGATACGAATTATTATGGTCAAGAGACGTAGTAGAATACCTACCCTATGCACTTATTACATTCAACATTTCAAAGTTCAATTTTAGCTACGTTTAAGTATATAATGTTTATCAACAATTAAATTATATTATTTGCCATTAAAATAAATCCCCAGCGAAAATAAAGTCTTTTTGCTGGCCACTTTTCCGACCGGTTTATCAGATGATTGAACAGCTGGTCGCTACATGATATTTTATGCAAGCTTATGGCGTGTTGTTTGATATCATGCCAGATCTTTTCTAATATAGCATACATGATATATATATATAAGCCCTCGGTGGAGTACAGGAGGTAATGTTTCCCTGTTGAAATGAGGGCATACCGTTACTGTTACATCATGGCGACTCACTCTGGCGCCCATGTACACAAGGTATTGATACAGTGACGTGGGAATGAACACTTCACCTGTATAAAAGCCTAAACCAGGGTTATATAAAGTGTTTGTATTTCTTATTACAAAATGCTGTTATTCTTTATTAATATTTAAATAATGTGAGACATGTCCAATTTACTTAATAAACTTATATGAAGAACAAAATCACTTGGCATCAACATTTAAATGGAATTCAGATTCTTTTTTTAGGGGAGGATTCAATTCACGCTGGATGACCTTGAGCTTTGACCTGTTGACCCCTAACAAACTGTGACCTGACCTTGACCTCTCCGCTCCGAAAATATATCACCTCTAGGTCTGATCGTTGTGAGTAAACAAACCAAGTACAAACAGTGAAGCTCTTTACTTGTGTTACACTGGCCATAAAAACAAACTACTTTACTCATGTCAGCCAGGACCTGCTTAAGCCATGCTGGTCACAGATTCCGAAAATTTTTAATCAATTCTCCTGACAGCTTATCTATGACCATTCTTATGTATGGTAATAAATAATTCTTATATCTACAGGAAAAGCCTCACACATTACACAAAGGCAATACAGTACAACCGTTATGTACCCGACTTGTGACATTACAATATTACTGTCCCGTGTGTCGCAATTCTACCAGCTCACCCCCACTTACTCCCATACCAAAAGCTTTCATAATACCTCTTACTTACCACTTAATAAAAGATTCCACTCTAGAAGCCATGATTTTTCGTTTAAGTTTATTAGCACTATGAGAGGTAGGGATGACTGCCATAGCATTAGTACACACTCACAATATAAACAGCAAACTACAGAGAGACACGAGGGCACTTATAACGGCTGGTTAAGTTTAAAGTCCTTTGCTAACCGTCACTGGCACACACTTTAAAACTGATAAGATATATACCACTAAATAGTCTTTATAACAATTCAGTCTTTATCTTTTACAATGTCAGTTACTTGAATGATATCTATCAGTTCATCAATACAGTATCAAAATGTATCGACTTGTTGAATTTCCTAGAGTCAATATCAACTGTGATGGTAGGTACTAGGTAGTTCCACTTTCCTTGTTGCTAGGTTAGGTTAGTCACTTGAGTACGTAAATAAGAGATTGAGAGGAGCACTGTGTGGTAGACAGTGTGGTAGCGAGTACACTGTGGGTGACTGGGTGGCGATGAACAAACCCTCCCGCGCCTCCTACTCTTGGTGACTCATTCCACCCCGTCCGAATGTCTCTCTTCTTGGCTATCGTTACTGATTCTTGCGTAGCTCTCAACACAACACGTGATTTCCTTAAGTTATTGAAAACCACAGATAAATATTATTCTTTTCTTCTATAATATGTATCTTCTATGGTTGAATACGTGATGCAATGAAATATTAATACTAAATAGACTGTATCAATCAGTTTACAGAATGGTAAGCACACGACAAAACATTTAATGCCTAGGCTTCTTCTACCGGTTTACTTTCATGTCTCTCAGAATATATCAAAATAACCTTCAACTATTAAGAGCCATTTCCGCTACAGTAACCTAGTCCAGTTCTCTGTCTCAGCGCACCACATGAGTCACTGAACTGAACACCTGTGAAGCCTAATCTATCCGTATTAGTGTGGGCGAGTGATGCACGTTGGTAGCGGCGTATAACAAAAGGTAATATTACGCATAGCCATTATCTCACTCACACACACACACACACACACACACACACACTGAAAAACTCAAATGGGTTTACAATTAATCTAAATGTGAGCAAATGTCAACCTTAATCATCTTGTGACAAAAGGTGACGAAATCTGAAGACCTGTTGCCACATACACCTGACACACTGACCTAAACATAATATTTTCAAAGCAACAAAAAATAAACAAAACTGGTCCATCTATCATTCGTTTTTTTTTTCTATTTTTCTGTTCTTGGATGAGTCGCGTTTAAGTAGAAATGTGGAAAGCGCGAGGGTTCGTTCTTGTACGCTGACTGCCACACTTTAAGACAACAGCAGTACGTGACAGTGGTCGATAGGAAAGCTTGCAGTGTGTTGTAGTCAAGGGCGCAGCAGGGAGGCAGATACATTATATACACTATACCTCGGCTGTCTAGATATATCTGCTGGCATTACTTGAAGCAGGGAAGTCGTGACCATCGCTCGAGCAAGTGTTCAGTCCTCTGCAGCGTAAAGAAGACTGTCTTGACCAGATTTAAGCCACAGTATACATTTACGCATCACCTGAAGATTAGTCACCCTAAACGCTAACCTAATCCATTCCCCAGGTAGAGTTAGAGTGTTTAATCATCATGTAAAATAAACTAGGGGTGATAATATTCAGGTGATAGAAATTTTCAGTCTGGATTCCACCTGTTCCATCCTCATCATCCGAACACACTGAAGCCATTTCAAATTGTGGTAAATTCCAGACTGAGGGAAGTATGGATTTGATGACTTAAGATGCCACGAGATGGTAAAATTCCTGGAAACTGTGTAGTCCCGCCAAGAGTAAACTGTTTACATAGTTCACCGTTTATGTATTTTGTATACTATCCCGATATGTGTTGAATATATTGATGTTTGAGGGTATTTTATTTGTCGGACCTGTTAACTGTTACTTGACTTGAGGTAATTCCTTATAACAGAAGAGATTCCACACACACACTTTCATACGTATATACACAAACATTAATACTTTTTTACATATGTATTCAGATATATCTAAACAATACACACAATGAAAACTAACTTAACAGTACGTAACAAACAAATGATCGACCGCCAGACTGACAAATAAGCTGACGGGTGTTAAAGATGATCAAATAAAGTAAATGAAAGTCCTTGTTTTTGTTGTAAAGTCAAATTCCATATTACTTAAGTTACCCCAAGAACAAGCGCGATGGAGATTCGTTTTCTATCACGAGTTACAATCTGGTTTTCTATGAATCAGTCCGCGACAATAGTGTGTTGGTAATTGTGTTTATAAGTTATTTACACTGACTTAGCAACTCTACTTTACTCGATATGTGTGTAATGGCATTTTACTCTCGTGTTATTTATAAGTGTAAGCATCAAGATCAAGTGTAGCATTTGCCACAGTATAAAATCAAAACAAAATAAGTGGTCATCCATGGATATTGATGGGATACTCTACTAAACGCTTATTTAACTTCTAAGTAAACAAATGTTATTATTTTAACACTGGAGAGAAGGGCACAACCACCACGAGATGAAAGTGAACAATGCCGAAATACACACGAGACCAGATTACAAAAAAAAAGCCGGATAATCAAGACCCTAACCTGGAATTACCAACTTCCTCCCCTACCCAAGCCGACTCATCCAGCTGACCCGGCCACACTCTGTACACCTTTCTCTCCAGCACCCCAGCGGCACGTCCTTCCTCTGTAAACCTGACCATTACTTCAACCAGTGGGATGTGACTGATCCAAACGCCATTTCCGTAAACTCTGATGTTGATTATACTAGAGGGGGGAAGGGGGGGGGTGTATGTGTCACTGTGTTATATGTATGGTGATGACACATGTTTACTGCTCTCTCTCTCTCTCTCTCTTGATCTATCTATTCCACCCTTTATCTCTCTCTTCCTCCCTCTTTCTATCTATCTATCTATCTATGCACAGTATATCCATCTATCCATCTATTTCTCTCTCTGTCTGTGTGTGCAAGTTTTCAATTGAGTGTTAAAAAAAAAAAAAAAACAAGATTAATAAACACTTAGTGGTGAGAGCCTGAGTACATGAGGCGCTGTGTTTACATTAGTCCACACACACCTCCCGCAGCTGTGCTTACCCATCCACTCACACGACGGAACCGGCACTCAGGAGAAACTAATTTATTCACGAGTTCCCGTCTCAAATATGCCTTCCTCACACTCTTTCGCTTCTTCTCATCCGATATCCTTACCTCCTGCCCCTCTCACCCTCACCTCCTGCCCCTCTGCCCTCACCTCCTGCCCCCTAACCCTCACACCTCCTCCTGCCCCTCTCACCCCTCACCTCCTGCCCCTCCTCACCCTCATCTCCTGCCCCCACACCCTCACCTCCTGCCCCTCTCACCCTCACCTCCTGCCCCTCTCACCCTCACCTCCTGCCCTCACCTCCTGCCCCCTCCTATCACCCACCTCACCTCGTATATATTATCAACTGTTTTTAATAACGGATGGGTGAGTGTTGGTAAATATAAATAAACCTCTAGAAAATATAAACAAAAAATCATATATAAAAACACAATTGTCATATACGATAAATCACACCTTTATATTTCACTTTAAAAGCATGTGTTGAGAGCTAAAGTGTGGAGACTTATACAGGCCATCCACAGTCATCCTCACCCTGTAGTAAGCATAATTACTATCAAAACATTGCTCCGATATACAGTAAGTTTACTCTGGTTTACGGGGCCAAATTCTCTCTCTCTCTCTCTCTCTCTCTCTCTCTTTTACGTAAGATTGAAATAAAGAGAATATCTGGGGGTCTAAGGGTGAGGGTGTGGGAGGGGTGAGGGGTGTTTGTTGGGGTGAGTGTTGGGGTGAGGAGAGTGCTGCGGGTAAGGGGGTGTGACTAAGAGGAAAGTTTGCCCTATTTATCATTTCATTAATTAATTATCACCTTAATGGTCGTTCGCACGGGGTGGGGGTGTCTGTTCTTTGTTACTCTGTTCTGACGTTCATTGTCCAGTGTTATTACAAGAGGAAGCTGGAGCAGTACCCGGAAATAACCTACGATGTTTAGGGTGTAATTGGCGAGGGTTACACTGGATGATACTCTTCTCATATCTGACTCTTGGGATTGAACTCGTAGACGCAGTGGTGACAGGCACAAGATGAAACTCGCATCTAATCTAACCTAACCAATTCTTAACCCAACCCAACCTGGCCTAACCTAACCTAACGAAACCTACTATAACCGTAACCAAACCTAACTTAAGATAACATAACCTAACCAAACAATCTAACCTAACCCAACCTAACCTCTAACGCTTCCACACTTTCCCTCAACCTGCATTAAAACCAGCGAACCTCTACCTCTTCCGATACCTCCTCCTCTCTCTCCTACCTTCCCCCTCAGTAATAAATCCTCCCTCACAATCACTTATGACTTTTCTGTGCTAATAACCTTTCGTTAATATGACCACTAATGACTTCCTCAATACAAAGATCTCTCCCCTCATTTTTCCTTCCGTCATTTAAAAAGATATATTCCTACATTCACTCACAATCACCACAAACAGTCACTCATCAAACGGGAATTGATCATACGGAGAAAATTAATCATCCTCGGTGTTGTATTGATCTTTCTCCCCCCCCCCACCTTCTGTATCGGGTAGCAAAATGCAGTGACTAGTTCTTACAGTAATCTAACCTAACCTAAACCTAACCTAACCTAATCTAACCTAACCTTGAATCATATTTATACACTCGTTTTATGTTCGACCAGACAAGATCATCGGCAACATGTACTGTGGGTGGCTCAAACAGTTGTCAGTGAGGCTTCATTGAACCATCCAGTGACACTTGCCTTTATAATTTCACGTAAGTATTTCCTTTACGGGATTTTTTTTCATTTGTGTATTCTGGAGAGTCTAATCTAACACACTGTTGATTGTTTACCTCTGTTTACCGGATAGTTTGCTGGGGTAAACAGTGTAAGGAGACGCATATCTTCAGCTGGTGGTCCGACGATACACTCAACTATACCTGTATGATCTACCTCATTACAATAGTGGACGTGGCTTGATACTCACAGCGGGATCTGCGTGGTGATGGTGATGGGGTCGCCCGTGCTGGTGTCTGTCTCTGTGTCACTCACGTCCATCCACTCGTCTGAGGTCTCGCTCTTACCCTCCGTCGGGGAGAGTGAGGGAGAGGGGGCGCTCTCCCCTGCCATCCCCATACTCTCCCCGCTGGCCATCGTCAGGGGCGCCATCAGGCCTCCTGCAAGATAACAGACAGGACTCGGGTCATGTTTGCACGCGTGTGTCACTGTACGCAAAATAATAATTCTAAACTCATGCTGTGGGGGACAATGTTATCACCAAGTGCGTCTCTTACCGTATATCCTTGTGTGGACGGAGGACCCCGGGGTGCTGGGCGTGGTAGGGGTTGTGGGCGTGGTAAGCACGTGCATGGTGGGCGTGGCGGAGGAGTTCACAACGGGCGTGGACTCCAAGGCTCCACCGATGCGGGTCAGCTTATAGGAAAACACCTCATGGACGCCTCCCTCAGAGCCTTCTGCAGAACCATCACAAGATGAACTCGTTAAAGTTAGTGACTAAAGGTATTGTATTAATAAACATGCTTTAATACACTATTCTCCTGATATACCTGTAAGATAAACTAATTAATCGGAGACAACTTTCAAGACACATGTTGATACACTAATTACCCAACACAACACTGAAACAGTGAATGACCAGGCACTTCCAGGGTTAAGATGATGCCAACCAGGGAGATGTTACCACAGTCGCTAATCTGAACAAATGGTCACTTTCTACTGTACACTACAAAGTATTGGATAGAATATTAACAGTTAGGAATGTGAGTAAAAAAACGCCTTCCTCAATAATATTACTTGTCAAACTTTCCCTTGATAATAAAACAGCGAGAGGACAGACGTCAACACCGACCTTCACTGTAGTAGGAGGAGGCGTCGTCAGGACCATCCTGGTCGTAGTCAAGGTCTTCTGTGTCGTCGACTGCAGGTGTCGAGGCCTCAGTCTCCGGCACCTCCTCGATGCTGCTGACTCCTGGGCGGCCCTGTGGGGACACACCGGGGGGATACACCGGCTCATACGAGTGAGAGTTCTGGGAGGCGTTGTACATAGAGATCTCGTCGTACATGGAGCTGATGGAGTCCAACTGGTCCTCCCTCACCAGGGCAAACCGCGCAGTCACCAGACCTACGTCACAGTCATCGTACTGACTCGAGTCTGAACGGGCAGGGTTAACCAGGTCATAACCTTCTGAAGGAGTCCTGATGGTGTCATACCCCACCGTAGACGGCGGCCGTATATCGTCGTAGCCACAGGAGGACGGAGCTCCTATGTCATCATAGCTGATGGCGCTGACAGCACCAATGTCATCATAGGCTAGTGTCTGGGTGTCCTCAGCTCCCTGCTGCAGCTCAGCATAGTTGTGTCCCTCGGGCATCACCTCCTTGTTCTTGACGGAGGGAGTTATCTTCCCGTACCTGTCCATCCTCCCGTACGTCCTCACACCGATCAGTCTGGTAAATGGCGAGCGTTCAGGTTCAGCTTCTTCTTGAATAGTTTCTTTATAATCTGAAACTTCTGAAGAAGTTGGTGCCTGGCCGCCATCACTCCACAGGAAGGAAGAGTTGGGTTTGATGCCACGACCCTCCAGCTTCTCTCTGTTACGGTGAAGTTTCTCAAGATCAGGAGCATAAAGGTTCTCGTAGATATTTTCCGTCTCGTTGCTGCTATCACTGTCACCATTAGATTTGTCTGATATTGACGACATGTTGGACGTGTCCTTCAACTCAGCAGCAGCATCTGATGGTGACTCTGTGGGGACAGCTGGTATTGGAGTCTTAGGAGGCGGTGGTATAGGTGTTGTGGCGGAGAGAGGCGGCGAAGGTATGGGAGTCTTTGGCGGAGGAGGTAAAGTCATGGATTTCATGGACTGTGTAGGTGTCTGGGGTCTGTCGTAGAGGCTGTCAGTATCGAAAGTAAACACTGTACTCGCACACTTCTCCCTCATGTTGTAGGGGAGAGTGAGACTGGTGCCGGACGTGCCAGGCTGAGGTGAGTCAGGAGGATTGGGTGAGTCTTTGGCCTCTGCTGACGCCAATTCCTCGGCCTCCTTCGCCGCTTCAGCCTCTTCCTGGGCGAGTTGTTCTAACAGTTTATCTTTGTGCTTCTTTCTGTCTCTACTTCGTGACCTCGACCGTATACTCCATTTTCCGTACGTACCTTCCTCCTTGTCCTCTTTCCTCTTTCCTTTACCATCCTTCTTCGACTCTTCACCAGAGGTTTTCTTTTCCTCTTCTCTCTTCTTCTCCTCTTCTTTGGCTTTGTCTTTGTTTCGTCGACGTTCTTGGCTCTTCTCACGAAGTTTCTTGAAGGTAAACCTCTCATACGTCCTTCCTTCCCTCTCTCTGCCGTCTTTCTTGGGAGACTCCATCTTGTCATCAACATCTTTATCACCATCCTCTCCTGTTCCCCTTTGCTCCTCGTTAGCTCCTTGATCTTTTTCGTCTTTCTTTTTATCTCTTCCTCTTTCTCTTGACCGACCTCTTCTGTACCACTTCTCTCGATCAGCTGACGGAGATCTGTTTCTTCTCTCTCTCTCTCGTTCTTCCTTTCTCTCTGCGTCTTTCTCTTTGGTTTTCTTAACGGTATTTTTGACAGCTGTCTTGACGGCCGTGTATATACGGATCTCGTTAGTCTTGCTGGTCCTCTTGGACTTTGCGTCAGAGCACACCGAGCTGACCTCTGAGTGAGTGTCGTCCAGCACACTGCTGTTGACAGACCTGGAGTCTGGCTCAATGGTCGTCTCATCAAGTTCATCCTCAACGGAAGTTGTTTTGTCCTCTGGCTCGACGGCACCGGCATTGTCCTCACACTGGGAAGTACTGGCCGCCGCAGTGTCTCCAGCCTCATTAACTTTGGTGTCAGATTTTGGTATATCAGCGTTACTTTTGCTTTCAGATTCTAAAAGGTCCACAATGCCCTTCTCCTCAGACTCGAGGTTGTCAGCGGCACCTTCCTCCTCAGCCAGTAAGCAGGATCTACTGAAAGCTTTTTCCTGTTGTAAGTCTTTGTCTTCGGGATCTTCTATACTCGTTTCCGGGTCGAGGCTGTTGTTCTCCGGGGTCTTGAGAGCTATGGCACTATCTTCACTCCGACAAGTATCAGTTGAGATGATAGTCTCTAGAGAGGAGTCCTCGGGCGTGGGGGAGCGATAACCCGGCACAGGAGAAGTGGTAAGAGAGGTACTGCGGTAGCTGGGCGACACAGCCCCAGAGAGTCGATCTCCTTCAGTAGATATACCAGAGTCCATCGAGTCGGACTTGGCGTGTCGTTCAGATAAAGGTAACACTTGATCCCTGGTTTGTCTTTCAGGTAAATGTAACACCTGCTGGTCGTTCTCGGAAGTCTTCACCAAGGTCCCGTTTGTACTGTTCCTCTGGTGCTCCTCAAGGGGATTAGTCGTCTTTGGTATCATAGAAATAGAAGCAACAGCACCGAGAGCTGAGAGAGATGCACATGGAATGTCTACGTTTATTGCTTCCTCTAAACTGCTGTATCTAATGTCGCAGGAAGGTGTGGGGGACGGCAGGCGACTTCTGTACTTCTCCTCGTCCGTCGACTCGTCATCCTTGTCGACGACGTCATCTTCGGAGTCGTCAGTTTCACCCTTGAACTTCCCAGAAGATAAAGCCGTCTTTATCTTCTCACACACCTTCTCTTCGTCAGTCTTGTTGTCACCAAGTTTTTCAAGGGAAGCTGCACGATTTTTCGGGATGGTCGACTTCTTGTTGACCTTCCTGGCACCGGTCACAGTTAGGTCTCCTCTTCGTTCTTCCCTGTTCTTTTCCTCTTTTTTACTCTTCTCGTTCATTACAGGGGCGCCTTCTGTTTTATTTTCCTTGTTGTCTGGATCAACCCTTCCAGTCTTGGGTCTGCTGTTGAACGTGGTGCTCGCTCTAGGGCTCGACACAACTCGTGTTTTGTGAACAGCGACGTGACTGAAAGGTAAGTCAGACTTCGTGATGGGATTCCCTGCTTGGTTCTGTGAGCTAATGGTGTTATACATGTTGGTCAGAACTGCAACTCTGTTCTTGATGGTGAAACTTAACCTGTACTCAGCTTTTCGTGCATTCTTGATATCCAGTCGGCCATTCTTAGAGTCCTTCCTCCGCAGCTTGATGGCCTGAGTCTTCACAAAACTCTCACCCTCCATCATCTTGGCTCTTGAGGCGAAGGTCAGGCTACTCCTCCGGCCCAACCGTGACCCCGTCTTAAAGCTCTCTGACCTCTTGACGGGGTTGACTTTCAGTGAAGGATCGGAATCCTTCCTGGCCTTGTACGCTGCCGCCTCGATCTTCTTCACCACAGGAGCCTTCTCAGCTGGCGACTCGTGGAGGTGTGAAGCGACAGGTAGCACGCGGCCAACGAAATCTTTCTCGTCCACAATGTCTGTTTTGGAATTTCTTCTTTTGTTAACTTTGGCATACTCTGGGATAGGTTTGCCGTCTACTGTCAAGGGAACACCTGTGAGAGTCATAGACGGTACTGTGAATGATGAGGAGGATGTGGATGACGAAGGGACAGCTATGTCTCTTCTCTTCCTCTGTGACGCACGAACAGACGTCCTGATGCCTGTGCGGGTGAACCTGAAGGAGCCCAACCTGCCCCGTCTGGTGACCTCGGGCGTCTTCACCACCGTGATGTTCAGCTTCGTTTTAACGTACTTGTTGGAGTTTATCGTGATAGAGTCCAAGTTCTTGCTCACGGGCTCGACTCTGGTGGTGGTGCCAGCTCGAGCCCCGCACACTACAGTCTTCCTCTCTGGGCTCACGTCTCGCCCAGGATCCTCCTTGATACGACTGTGAAGCAACATCTTCTTTACGCCAAGTTTTGCTGCACACTTAGACTCTGCAGACAAACTTCTATTTAGTTTCTTGTCTTTATCTTTCTCGCCGCCCTGACCGCTGTCTGTGGCGGCTAAGGCGAACCTGCAGAAGGGCGAGGTAAACCCCCTGCCTCCCAGACTCATGTGGCTGGGATCCGGAGTGGGACTTATGTCACCGCTGGTAAAGTCCATCCCCTCATATGTCAGATTATTTACATGGTTCTGGAACCTGGCCCGAACCGTGTCGAGGGTGCTGGCCTTGACCTGCGGGGAGAGGTCGTGTGAGGTGCTCGTGGAGGGCTCCAGGGTATGGTAACGGAAAGCATTCAGGGGCGACACTGAGGGCTGATAAGTTTGGGAACGTAGAGTAGACATGGGCGCCGTACGGAGGGTGGGGATGGGAGCCCCAGAGGGCTGTAGGGTGTAGGAGCGGATGGCCGATACGTTGCTGACGGAGGAGGACGCAGACAGCGGGTCAGTAAGGAGGCAGCCGAGACTACTGCTGCTGGGGCCATAGCGGTTATGAAGGAACGATTTTTGGTTAGATTGAGTTTTCGACAGCGGTAACTCATAGCTGATGGGACGCGCAGTGTAAGTGTTCGAGTCCACCGAGCCGAGACCTTCACCATCGTCCACACTGACACTCTCCTCACTCGTGTCTATCGAGGTACTGTCTTGGTCCATAACTTCACTCATCACATCGGCACAGTCACTGAGTTCTTTGGGATGAGGCAGCACAACAACAGCTGTGTCTTTGGTAACCACTTCGGGAGTTTCTAACGCGGGAGACAGTAGCTGACTGTCACTGTCTGTGGACACTGTGAGGGGAGTGTCACACGGCTTACTCTCCTCGCTCTTATCTTTCTTGTTCTTTTCTTTTTCCTTTTCACTTTTCTTCGCACTTTTATGCCACCGGATACACGTAGGCAGTATACCCCTCTTGGTCTTCTTAGCCTTGGGGCTTTTAGTGTTGGAGGCCCCGTCGACCAGCCCGGCGGCCTCCTCCACCTTTGGCTCTCCTCCATGGCTCTTGGAGACCTTGGAGTCGCTGGAGAACACATTGGAGACCCTGGGGCTCTTCTCGCGACTGGAGGCCGGCATGGCGGCCCCGGCGGAGAGGGTCGCCCAGCGGAGGAGTGTGGAGGGGGTGAGGTGGTGGAGGGGCGGTGGTGGGGGAGGTGCGGGGCGGGGCAGGGACACAGCCGAGCCTCGCCTCACTCCCCGCCACCCATCATAGCGCTCTGAAAGACACAACATCCATCAGTATGTCGCTCATGTAAGGCACACTACACAACACAATAATCAAAACAACAATAATCAAAACAACACAATAATCAAAACAACAACAATAATCAAAACAACAACAATAATCAAAACACAATAATCAAAACAACAATAATCAAAACAACAACAATAATCAAAACAACAACAATAATCAAAACACAATAATCAAAACAACAATAATCAAAACAACACAATAATCAAAACAACAACAACAATCAAAACAACACAATAAAATCAACACCAATGCAATACCTTCACATTTCCAGGGAGACCAATGTTAATATTCAACATTACTTCACAAGAAACTAAAACAATGTCAATATTTAACATTACATAAACCATCGTCCTCAAAGGGTTAAACCATAGTCCTCAAAGGGTTAAACCATAGTCCTCAAAGGGGTTAAACCATAGTCCTCAAAGGGGTTAAACCATAGTCCTCAAAGGGTTAAACCATAGTCCTCAAAGGGGTTAAACCATAGTCCTCAAAGGGTTAAACCATAGTCCTCAAAGGGGTTAAACCATAGTCCTCAAAGGGTTAAACCATAGTCCTCAAAGGGTTAAACCATAGTCCTCAAAGGGTTAAACCATAGTCCTAGTTAAACCCTCAAAGGGTTAAACCATAGGGGTTAAACTAGTCCCCAAAGGCTAAACCATAGTCCTCAAAGGGTTAAACCATAGTCCTCAAAGGGTTAAACCATAGTCCTCAAAGGGTTAACGCATAGTCCTCAAAGGGTTAAACCATAGTCCTCAAAGGGTTAAACCATAGTCCCCAAAGGGTTAAACCATAGTCCTCAAAGGGTTAAAGCATAGTCCTCAAAGGGTTAAACCATAGTCCTCAAAGGGTTAAACCATAGTCCTCAAAGGGTTAAAGCATAGTCCTCAAAGGGTTAAGCTATTGTCCTCGAAGGGTTAAACCATAGTCCTCAAAGGGTTAAAGCATAGTCCTCAAAGGGTTAAACCATAGTCCTCAAAGGGTTAAACCATAGTCCTCAAAGGGTTAAACCATAGTCCTCAAAGGGTTAAACCATATCCCAAAGGTTAAACCATAGTCATCAAGGAAGTTAAACCATAGTCTCAAAGGAAGAAACCATAGTCTCAAGGGTTAAACCATAGTCTCAGTACAACGCATAGTCTCGGAAGAAACCAAGAACTGTAAGGGTTAAAACCAGCAGTCTCAAGGGTTAAACCATAGTCCTCAAAGGGTTAAACCATAGTCCTCAAAGGGGTTAAACCATAGTCCTCAAAGGGTTAAACCATAGTCCTCAAAGGGTTAAACCATAGTCCTCAAAGGGGTTAAACCAGAAAAACAAAAAACTATGTAAACAATAAACACAAAAATACACATAAAAAATGCAAGTACACAAACACACATGCAAAAAGTATATACACACACACACACACACACACACACACACACACACACACACACACACACACAATTAAATATAAACATTACATACACATTATATACACAGGGGCCTGATAAACATTACATATACATACATACTATATACACAGGAGTATATAAATAATACACACTGCTTCATGTTTTCACCGCCACAACAATACAGTAATTACCCCCTCGCACTAACCACGTTAAATTGCCTTGAAAGACATTTAGTGAAACTCTCATCATTATCTACTGTCGGTGAGAACAAATTTTCTGTTCGTGTTATTTATCAGCTGGTAATGATCCTCACACACACACCTGAAATAACACCTGGAAGCCACATCTTTAGTAAGCTTCTGGTGTAGGGATCACAAACGCACGAACACATGTGGTAAGGAGGAGAGGAGAGGGACGTCCTCACCCTACCGTCGTCCAGGATACACTGAGTCTCGTCCAGGAGGCGCTCGACCCTCTGGAGGCCGTATGTTGTGTCACGCTCACGTGCCTATACCTTCAGCACCCAACTCTCACCCTTGTACCAGAAGGCAGAAGGACTACTTTCTTACCGTTCCTCCGTCGGTAGTACGTCACTAGGCACGAGGAGGGTACCAGGTGACAACAGAGGCAAAATAAAGACTTTAGAAGCATCTGTTATGAATCTATTCCCCCAAAACAAATTGACTATGATGGTGAAGATAACACGTTCAACATTCCCCGTAAAAATAATAGATGCTCCGGTACTGTGAAACTATCAGTAATGTGTGACAACTGTGTAACGTAAGTAAATATATAAAATGTTGATGTTTGTTGACTCATATATACAGTATAACATAACATGGAAGCGACTGTTAGTGCTGAGAAAGAGGACATAAGAGCAAGAGAACATAAGAACAAGAGCAAGAGAACACAAGAGCAAGAGAACATAAGAACAAGAGAACATAAGAATAAGAGCAAGAGAACACAAGAGCAAGAGAACATAAGAACAAGAACAAGAGCAAGAAGATAGGGAGGGTGATGCACGGGGTGACACGTAAAAAGAAAGCGATTGTTTTAGTGGAGGGACACACACACACACACACACACACACACACACACACACACACACACACACACACACACACACACACACACACACACACACACACACACACACACACACACCAGCTGGGAAACGTAACGAGGTAAACATTAAATCTTTGACACGCGCCTAAGCTAAACAACAAAACTCTGTGAGAAAGTGATCAACAGGTGTCTACTGCTGTTGCTGTTACTGATGTGCTGTCACCCTGAGTGGACTAAGACGATTATCAACCAATTACACGTGTTTTTGGATGCCCCCTTCGTTGGTGAGTGGCTCCAGGGGTGTTGGTATGCAGTATATAACTCCAAAGTGTTAATACCTCCTGTGGTACTCCTCCAAACACACACACACACACACACACACACACACACACACACACACACACACACACACACACACACACACACACACACACACACACGGTCCAGAGACACTCCAGTAGCGGAATATAAGAAGGATTTGCCGTATTTTAAGAAGTTTGGAGAGTTCAACCCAAATTATTACCCACGATTTTAGAGTGTCTCTGTAATAATCTGTTCGGTAACGCAGGTAAGCGGGAAAGTCAGTGTGTTGAAGAAGTTAGGTTAGGTTAGGTTTGGTTAGGTTAGGTTAGGTTAGGTTAGGTTTGGTTTGGTTTGGTTTGGTTTGGTTTGGTTTGGTTAGGTTAGGTTAGGTTAGGTAGAGATTCTTCAGGTGATCCAATATTTATCACATAAATTAATTCCTATTTTATCCTCCTGTATGAGCAGTAAAAACTAACCCGACTGATGGAAATTATACAAACGAGTCACTTTTAAGTTAAGCTGAGTCTATTGTAAACAAATCAGACCATCACATCAGCTGATCTCAAGAGTGGCTGACACACACCTCTTCTATGACGTCACGCTCGACACACACGTCCGCCTCCCTGCCTAAGACTCAGCTGGACTTTGTTTACATTGCGTCTGTATTATTGCATCCTGTTGTTGCCTTGTGCCAGGGTAACATGTTAATATAAACGGGATATAGAAACACAAATAATATGAAGGGGAAACATGATAGAAACTACATTAAGTTAACAGGTAACATGATGCGGGTGAGTAGGTAGGATATAGCCAGGTGTGGTAGTGGTAATGGTGGTAGTAATGGTAGTAGTAATGGTGGTAGTAAGTGGTGGTGGTAATAGTAAAGTAAGTGGTGGTGGTGGTAGTAGTAATGATGGTGGTGGTAGTGGTGATGTTAGTAGTTGTGGTAGTGGTGATGCTAGTAGTTGTGGTAGTTGTGGTGGGTGTCACTGAACATTAATAACCTGGTTGTAGGTAAGAGAAGGCCCGTGGTGAGTCCTGGGGCAGCTGAACCACACCATTACCACTACACAGGTTTCTCCGCCACCCCACAATATACACATGTTCCTTTTACACCCAACTACACCTCCATGGTACTCTACACCCACCCACACCCAACCCACCCACCCACACACCTATTTTCTCCATACAATCATATAGAAACCGTATTTATTATCACAGAAAGATCATCACGTTATGGACCAATCACAATGTGTTTCTCTCAGTTCAACCAATCACGTGAATCGTTCCATAGGTGTTAGATGTCCGCAGGTAAACAAAAGCCTCTACGTAGATACAGTTAGTGGAGGAAATGATTACTTACACACGTACACACAAACATACAGACACGCACACGGAAACAGTCATATACACGTCACAAACACACACAGATATGTAAACACAAGAGCACAGACACGTAGAAAAACATAAAAACAAACACATGAAGACAAACATACACACACAGGAAAACACTTGTACACACGAACGTACACACACGCCTCTCCACACCGTGACTGTATCTACAAGGAGAAGTAAAGTCAACAATAACCTCGGTGTGTAAAGTGAAATGCTTATGAATACACCTACACGGAGAGAGAGAGAGAGAGAGAGAGAGAGAGAGAGAGAGAGAGAGAGAGACTCCCTCCCTCTTCTCTCCATGACAGGTGTCCTCCCCTCACCCTCCACTGTACAGGTATCAACACGGTATAATCAACACACCTGTCCAAACTCAACATGAGAATGACCCATTTGACCCATTTTAAACCCCCATCACGACTCTCCTTAACCACCTACACTAAACTAACCAATTCTTCCTTTAAGTCCTGACGAGAACTTTAATCAGGGACTCATAACTCATCAAAACAAAGGGTTACCTGGGTTACCTGTCTCATTGGCCAATCACAACGACCCACCGTCCAGGAAACACCAAAAGGAACGACTCGTTTCCTATAGCTTCCACCAGTCACCTCACCTCGTTCTTCACCTCTACTACGGGTTCTCACGGTGGTTCTGGGTACTGTCTGGGTACTGCCTGGGTACTGTCTGGGTACTGTCTGTGTTTACCTTGAGTGTGTGTGTAAGTGTTGTGTGTTGTTGACGGTGACACACACACACACACACACACACACACACACACACACACACACACACACACGTCATTAC